AATTTTAAAAAAGCATTAAACAACAACAAAAAATGGATGATGTAGCTGTGAAAGTTAAGAGACACGACCATTGAAATAATATGACAAATATGACCAAGAGATTACGTTATTGGCTGGGGACATAAAACCAGACAAACCGGATTCACTCCTTTGGGGTTACTTCTGATTCCTCATTTGGCCTGCTATGGCAGAGCAGAACTCCCTCGGCAGGTTTCTGAGAACTGTAACCTGTGTGGTAACACCAAGGTCATGCTTCTCCCCTAGAGAAGCTGGTAGGTTGGAATTGTTGACTTTGCATCCCGATTCCTAACCCAGTATGACACCAGGGCTGCTTCTGGAGACATTAGAAAACTAGAATATATAAAAACAAATGTATAATCTCGACATGATAAATTCAATTGAGTATGATAGATGTCTTTAATTGCACAGATAAAGAAGAGATTAGTAATCTGGATGATAGCATAATAGAATATATTCAGTAGACCCTAGAGAGACCAAAAGAACAATGTTTAATAAAAATGCATGACAATGGGCAAATGCTTGTGGGAGAGGTAATAAATAGAGGTCCAGGTCATGTTCATCATGTTCCTTGCCTTTCTTTACTGTGTGTCCAACATTTAGTCTTCATCTCCATTTTAACTACCTTTGGCCCTTTATTCAGATCCTAGATTCTCTTGTTTTGAGTTGTTCAGTAAGATAGCCACTAACCATATTTAGTGATATACATTTAAATTTATTAAAATTAAGTAAATTACAATTTAATTTTCTTACTCTTGCCACATTTCAAGTACCCAATAGTCATATTTGCATACTGACTCTCAGATTGGGTAGTGCAGGTATAAAACCTTTCTGTCATTACTTAAAGTTCTATTGGATAGCACTCTCATTCTCTGATATTTTACTTTGTTTTTCAGGATATGTTTTATATATTTTTTAACTTGTGATTTTTTTCTGCTCTGAATAAAAAACATTCCATGTTTACAAACATCCTTGTATAGTTTAGTTCAATTCTGTGTTTCCATGCCCATTTAAAATCAGGCACTGTAAAGTCAGTGATTAAACACTGACTGGAGAAAGACAGAATAATATAAGAAATAATATCAATAATATCAAAAATGTTCATGCTATGCTCTCCCTGTAAGTCCAGGCTCCTTCACCACAAACTGTTCAGTTAACTAAGGGAGATGCTGAGGTTCCAAGGAGCACAGCGTCATAACTCCTTTAACATGCAAGACAGTTTGCGAAGTCTTAAGATGATTGTAGGCTCTTCTAACTAGGAATAATGGGGCAAGTAAACTCACTTTAGAAATACTCCCATGAAACTAGTAAAATAAACCATATTTTGGTTCCTGGAATTCTTGCTGAGGAATCTTTATATGACAGGAATATGAGGCAATTGAGGCTTTTATTGGAACTTGGTTAAAGCCTGACGTTGCCGTTTGCTGACCATTAAACACGGACAACTAACGTCTGCTTTTGAGTATGAAGGTTTATCATCTGTTTTGTGAAAGTTGTCGAATCTGTGAATTGTGACAAGTAATTGTGGTTTGGTGAAAATTGCTTTATAAAATGAAGAGTTCTATTTATAATGTGGGCAGGTCTGGGAGCTGCTCGACTTCATGCCATGCTGTTTCTTTTTTGCCTTATAGTGATTACCCTCAAAGATTCTGAAGGTCCCTCCTTTGGGAAAAAGAAAGAGACCTGGACTGTTTTTGAAGGTAAAGCTTCTTTGTTTTTTTAATTTTAAGACA